TTTCATTTGGCTCATATTCACATGTTTGTATTCAGTCATCTAGCAATGATTATGACATACTCGCATAAAATCATGGAGGTCGGTTGTTTTCTGTTTGAGAGGTTACAGTTCGAAAACATCTAGCCTCCTGGAGCCTATATGAGTGGCTTAAGAGAAACTTCTCACATTTCCCAATCCATGAAAGCGAGGGAAAACAATCCAAGGAAAACTGTATGAAAGAATGTTGGACCAAGCAATGATGTATTGGAAGAGTTGTTCAAAAATCTAGATTTAGCATTTGGGAAGTTGTTATCTGTATTTGATCCCCTCACTTGTGATTCTAAATCTTTAGGGCTCATGAATGTTACTTTTGGAGAATCTAACCATGAATTTAATACAGAAGGAATATGCCTCAACATTTTATTTTTTAAAAAGGTTGCTAATGAATCTTTAAAAGGATTAAAAACGAAATAAGATGTCCACACACCTCAACAAAACTACATTTTTGAGTGGAACACTAGGTTGCTAATGAAGTGGTTAGAGCAAGAAATTTACAACAACTTCTTGGTATATTATCTACCTTTTATGTATTAAATTCAGGGTTTTCCAAAAGTAACTCTCACTGAGTCCTAAAGATTTAGAATCACAAGTGAGGGGATCAAATACAAATAAGAACTTCGCAAATGCTAGATCTGGATTTTGAACAATTCTTCCTATTATTATTTCTTTGTCCAACATACTTTGATACAATTTTCCTTTGAATATTTTTCTCGCTTTTATAAATTGGGAAATGTGAGAAGTTTCTCTTATGCCACTCAAATAGTCTCCATGCATGGTGGCTGCATATTGTTGAATATTAGCCTATCTAGGAAAAAAACAACCCACCTCCAAGATTTTCTGTAAGTATGTCATAATCACTGCCAGATGACTGAACATAAACATGTGAATATGAGCCAAACAAAAAGGGACCACTTCCCCATTTTGTACAAATTGATTCTATAGGATCAGGCAGGTTTATTCCCTTTGGCTCATATATGCATCTCATGCTAGTGGAGATTTGAAGGTGTTTAGTGAAGTAAAGAATACACGATGAAAAGGTTTATTCCGAAAGGGATTTATCTGGATTTGAATCCCGATTTCGGGGTGGTTTCCATTTGCAACCTAGTGTTCCTCTAGTATAGGGCAGTTTGTACATTGAGGAAGGGAGAACACCATCATCTGGGTGGGAAAATATTTCCCTGACTCTTTTGCATTGATGCTTATAAGAAAAAAAAAGTAATCATATTCTGCTCTACTCATGACATGATGTATATTAAATGGATGAACAAGAGTCGACTGAGTGGAGTTGGTTGGTTGTGCAAGTTCTCTTACTTAGGTCACCTTCTCAATTTTCCAAGATTATTTCACAACTCCAAGTAAAAAATTTCTTGTGAAGGGGTTTGAGAAAGAAATTTTACAACAGCTTCCTCCGTACTCAAAGATCCTGACAATTTAGCTACTCTTAAAAAAACTAGGTTTGACATGCTTCCCATTCATGAAGTTACATGGCCTGAAATTGCTCTAAGGTACATGATAATTAGCAATATTACGTTATCTGTAGAATTTAGACTTGAGTCTACAAAAATGGCTTACACTGGAGCAGAGGGCAATAGCTTCCCTTGTTACAAGCAATAGATATCATTGGATATGCAATTTCATGCCAGCGGAGATCTGAAGGTGTTTGGGGAAGCAGAGAATATACGGTGGAAAGGTTTACTCCGAAAGGGCTTTAGCTAAATTTGAACCATGGTTTCGGGGGTGGTTTCCATTAGCAACCTAGTGTTCTACTCAGGAAGATTTTATATCCTTCTGTTGAGGTGTGACTATCTCATCTAAAAGTTTGGGATCACTTATGAATCTTAAGCGCATCGTATTACGACCAGGGGTAGTCTCGAATCGTGACACAAAAAGTTTTATTCCTTACAAGTATTTCATTTCCAAATTATTTTTTTTCACCTTTTTGGTAGGAAAACATTTGTTATGATACATTGTAAGTTTTAAATATACAGTTTTATCATAAAAGTCACTAATTAAATTTTCTCGTAAAAACTATTTAATAGTTTTTTATTTTATTCATTTGCAAGGGTATTGTATGTTTACCTGACATAATTTATATCATGTTAGACTCTTTTAATAATAAATTTAGTTAAGTGATTTAATTGATACAAATATTTAAGTTGAGTGATTTTATTGAACTCGACATACTTACTATACCATGTTAAATTTCCAAAAATGAATACACACATACAAACATCAGAGAAAGACGAAGTTACTTTCTCTGTTTTTTTTTCTTAAATCCACACAAGTTGTGAAAGTGCTTATGTGGGGTCGGGCAGGGTAGATTGAAATTTTGAGGGTGGAGACAAAACTCGTCCCGCCCCGCCCCATTGGCGGCCATCACAAAATGTATCAGAATCAAACTTATCACAAAGAAGAACATTGACATCGTCCTTATCCATGCCATATACTATAGAAGAAAACTAGACTTTAGAGTGAATTCCTTTTTTAAACTAAAGAAATGAATAATTTCGTTTGTATCTAAATGAATTGAAAGTGTTTAGTCATTTACTACATGTGGAGATTGTTCTTAGAATGAAAAGTAAGAACTTTTTTCTAAATTTGAATTGGAAGTGTCTTATAAAAATACTTTATAATGCGTTCAGACACTTAATTGAAATAAATTGTAATATGAGTGTCTAAGTAAAAGTTGTTCGCAAAGTAAGAGGTTGTCTACATATTAGATACTTAAATTGACTTCAAGATTACATGGACAAATGTTTGATTTGTTTAACAAATGTTTGATTTTTTCATAATAGTAAATTTCTTAATTACATTATTATAGGAATAATTACATTTATAACTTTACTTATCATATCCTTTGGTTTAATTTTAAAAGTGATCCTAAATAAGAAGAATAATAATTGTACATGATTAAGATAAACATAAAAGGAAAATTAATCACTAGTTCAACATATTTGGAAAAACTTCAAATGTGTTGATCTCTCTAAACTAGTATAAATACCCACTCTTGTTAAGCTTATTTTCACTCACAAATGTCAATATTTCCCCTCTCTCACTCTAATAAAAAAGTTTTCACATTCTTCTTTTCTAGACTGGTGCTTCTTTGGAAGCTCATGATGTTTTGAGAAATTCATCACATGATAGTAAAAGTGACACGATTGATGAGGATGAATCTGAAGTTTCAAAGGTTTCAAATTAACAGCTTGCCTTTTCCTATATAGTTGATGTTTTGATCAATGCTAACACTAGTATTTCGTGTGAATCGTGCCTAGTCCTAAAGGGAGATATTGATAGCCCATCTAGTCGACATTGCGAATGTCGTGGAAATACCATTGGAGATGGAAATAAATGGAGTAAGCCACCTAAATCTCCTAGGCATAGGTGTCTTATTTCATTTGTCTCTATCTCCAATGCTACTTCCACAACGTTCATGATGTCCACTAGACGGCCTATCAATATCTCTTCTGGGATCAAGGCACCGCTCACACAAAACACTAGCACTAGCATTTATTAAAATATTAGCTACGTCAGATATGGGAAGTTGTTGATCAAACCTTTAAAATTTCAGTTTCATCCTTATCAGTCATGTCACTATTTACTAATTGAATAAAAGTTTTAGTTCTCTCTTTTTTTATGTGAAGGAAAATGACAAATTAATTTATGATTACTATTTAGTATTTAATTAATAAAATATTTTATAACTTATTTAAGTAGTATAGGACAGTTCAACTTTAAATTTTGGAGTTCCCCACTTTAGATATTTTTCTTATTATTTATTATTTATTTATGATAATATGATGATAAGTTAGGGAAATGAGGAGGTGTAGTTGTGAAGTTCATTTTAAATGGAAAAATAATTTTCTAAAATGATTCTAAGAAAATAAATTAATAGGTAAGAGGTATTTTCGTAATTCAATTTTTAACATAGATTCTTTCAACTGTTAGTAATACTAGTCCACGGAACGTGCATTGCGCGTTTGTCCCCTAATTGCCATTAGAAAAACAAATTTATATTAGTGAATATATCATAGTGGAGCGTACATATATTCATTGTTAAGTTAAAAGATAAGTCCTTTTGTATGTAATTTGACATAAGAATATAACTATTCACAAAATATAGGATGAAAATCTTATATTAGATATTGGAGGTTTGATATTCTAAAAGCTTTATGAAGATAAATCTTTTATTATATAAGAGGAATTAATATATTTTAATTACGAAATGTAAGTTTTAATAATCAAAAACAAAATTGGCTATAAAAAAAGATACGTATAAAGAAAATAATTACAAAATATCTAGGTGTGTAACATCACATTTATAGAAAAAATTATAAGTTCAACCGGAAAAGAAAGAAAAGTAAATGAAGACATGACATCCATAATAAGAGACATCACATTAAAATATATTGACAATAATATTATCATATTAATTGAATTACATTTTGTTAGAAGTCAACTTGTAATAGACAAAATGTTTCATATGTATAAAAAAACTAAATCATAAAAAAAATAGAAAAGAAAGAATGGCTGTGTTAAAAATATACATACATTATATATCTTGAACTATATATTAAAAAATCTATATATAAAAACATTAAATACGAATTAAACTACAATAAAATTCAGTGTAACATTTGCACTAATTTTTACTTTACATTATATTTTATTTTATTTTTACTTGTGCACTAATTTTTGTGCTTGTATGTAATAGTTAAGTACGTGAATTTTTATAAATATTTGAGATTACATATAAAAAAGTATATGCATGTTGTTTAAAAAAATAAATGATTAACAAACAACGGAAAATACTAGGTCAAAGGAGCCTTAGAGTAGGTAAATCCCTATTTACCGATTTTCATGTGCGATAATCCATGAAGTTTTGGTGGTCCTTAATATTAGATTTTTTTTGCCAAAACTTTTTATAGACGTTCGTTAAGACCATAGTAATGAAGATAGTTGGTCGCACCGTTCCATTTTGAAATTGAAACGAGCCCAAAGCAGGTAACCCTTTATTTTAGCAATTTTTGTGTGCAATCTATGAATTTTTGGTAATTTGTAATTCCATATTTTTTTTGCTAATTTTTCATAGAAGTCCGTTAAGACCGTAAAAATGGAGCTAGGTTGTCTCCACAAGCCAACCGGTCCATTTTAAAGGTCAAACGAGCCTAGAGCAGGTAAACCCTCATTTTATCGATTTTTGTGTGCTATAATCCATGAATTTTTGGTGATCTAGAATTCCAGATTATTTTTTGCCAGAATTTATTGTGGACGTCCGTTAAGAATTTAGGAACGGAGAAAGTTGGTCCCCACGGGCAAACCGGTCAATATTCATGGTCAAACGAGTCCATAAGTAAGTAAACCCCCTATTTTGCATATTTTCATACGCTATAATATATGGATTCTTGGTGATCCGAAATTCCATATTTTTTTACCAAAATTTTCATAGATGTCCATTAAAACATTAACAATGGAACCAGTTGGTCCCTATGGGCAAACTAGCTCATTTCAAAGTCAAGCGATCCCCAGAGGTAAACCCCTATTTTATCAATTTTCGTGTGCAATAGTTCGTGGATTTTTGGTGATTTAGAATATTGGATTTGTCTTTGCTGAATTTTTTTATGAACGTACGTTAAAGCCTCAAAAATGGATCCAGTTGGTCCCCATGGGAAAACTGGCTCATTTTTAAAGTCAAACAATCCTTAGAGCAGGTAAATCCCATTTTGTCGATTTTCGTGTGCTATAGTCCATGAATTTTTAGTGATTCAGAATTCTGATTTTTTTGTCAAATTTTTTCAAGGACATTTGATAAGACCTTAGAATTGGAAACAAGTTGTCTCTATGGGTAAATCGGCTCATTTTCAAGGTCAAACATGCACCAGAGCAGGTAAACCCCAATTTTTACCGATTTCGTGTGTTATAGTCCATTGATTTTTTGTGATATGAAATTCTGGATTTTTTCCCCAAATTTTTTCATTGATGTCCGTTAAAACCTTAGAAATGGATTCAGTTGGTCCTTCGGGCAAACCAACCTATTCTCAAGGTCAAACGAGCCCTATAATAGGTAAACCCCCATTTTGCCGATTTTTGTGTGCTATAGTCCATGAATTTTTGGTGATCTAAAATTTCATATCATTTTTTGTCGAAATTTGTTGTGGACATTTGTAAAGACCTTAGAAATGGAGCAATTTGGTCTCTACGGGCAAACCAACCCATTTTCAAGGTCGAATGAGACCAAGAGCAGGTAAACCTCAATTTTACCGATTTTCATGTGTTATAGTCCATGAATTTTTTTGTTTTCCAGAATTTTGAATTATATTTTGTAAAACTTTTTCATGGATATGCATTAAGACCTTAGCAATGGAGCCAGTTGGTCCCGACTGGCAAACCAACCCATTTTCAAGGACATTCGAGCCAAAGCAGGTAAAATCCTTATTTTGCCAATTTTCGTGTGCTATAGTCCATAATTATTTGAAATCCTGTATTCTAGATTTTTTTTACGAAATTTTTTTCATGGATGTTTGTTAAGACCTTATACATAAATCCAGTTGGTGTCCATTGGAAAACCAGCCCATTTTCAATGACAAATGAGCCATCGAGCAGGTAAACCCCTATTTTGTCAATTTTCGTGTGCTATAGTCCTTGGATTTTTGGTGATCTGGAACTCTGACTTGATTTTGTAAAATTTCTTATGAACGTCCGTTAAGAACTTAGATTTGGATCCAATTGGTATCAATGGGAAAATCGACACATTTTCAAGGTCAAACGAGCCTAGAGTAGGTAAACCCCTTATTTTTTCAATTTTCATGTGCTATAGTCAATGGATTTTCGTTGATTCGAAATTTCCATGTGATTTTTGCCAAAAATTTTCATAAACGTCCGTTAAAACCATTATAGATTATGACTCCAGAAAGCTTAAAATTCACAAGCGAAATTACTCGACCCATGATCAAGAGTTGGCTGGCATAGTATTTTCTTTAAAAATATGGTGTCATTGTCTTTATGGTGTTCATGTGAATGTGTTCACCGATCACAAAAGTCTTTAGTATTGAGTAGATTGTCTATAGGTAGTATCGATCAATTTGAGGAAGATAAGAAAGAGTTAGCAAAAGATGTGCATAGACTTCCACGACTAATGGATTCCACAGAAGGAGGAGTAATGAATGGGGTTGAATCATCGATGTTAAATTCTTTTAAGAATAAATTTGGTTAAGTAATTTAATTGATATAAATATCAAAGTTGAGTGCTTTTATTGAACTCCTCATATTTACTATACCATGTTAAATTTGCAAAGTCACTTTTCTGTTTTTCATAAATCCACATAAGTTGTGAATGTGCTTATGTGGGGCAGGGCGGGGTAGATTGAAATTTTGCGGATGGAGACAAAACCCGCCCCACCCTACCCCGCCCTGCCCCGTCCCATTTCCATCCCTACACACAACAAACCAAAGATACTACACAAAGCAAGTTTTGCATGTTTTCAACCTTGCAAAGTGACCGTTCGGTGTTGTACCATCACAAAGCAAGTCTTGAATGTTTCAGCTAGTTGTAGAATGTAGTCAAGTATAATTGGATAAGAAAATTGAATTGAGATCACTAACGACAGATAGAAGTTGAAGGTAGAACATGTTTGGTACCTTGCCTGAAAATCGAGTTGAGATTACTAATGACAGATAGAAGTTGAAAGTAGAACATGTTTGGTGCCTTGCCTGAAAAATCCTAGAATCCTTGATTCCTTATGTCCATACAAGTAAGCTAAAAATTGAGCAAGAAATGATTCATATCTTGGTTTCAATGAACATTGTATTACCAAATTTATGCGCTTGATACAAAGTGGTTCAAGGTTGCTTTGAAATGTTACTTCCTTCATAATCAATGAAAAATAATATATAGAAGCGGACATATCAATTTTGGTGAAGGCTGAATTACACAAGTGAAACTCGACGAGATTTTGAGCTTTTACTTAAGTTTTTCAAATTTTTTTGCGAGTATTGACATGAAGCTTTTCGAGATAATTGAGATGGGGGACTGTGAAGTCAATAAGGTTGTCACAATTTATCAAAGTTAACTCAAAAAGGTAAGGATATATGGGTATAAAATTGGAGAAGGTACGCGAAAAAATGCAAACAGAATGAAAACATAACTCTTTCAATGAAGGTATACATTAAATTCTGCATAACATTCATGTAACAATTTCCTTTTATATGGGGAACCGTTAAAAATCTAAAATTTAATATTTTGGGAGATGCACAATACCTAAAATTAGGTGGTATGAACAAATAGAGCTCTTTGAAACTGATGTTATCCGCAGCAAGTTTAATAAATGGATTGACATGGTAGAGATCTGTGCCGGAGCATACACAGGATGCATGAGAGTACAAGTGAGAGCAGCTGCAGTATCCACACGTTATATTTTCAGAACGTGTTTGGACTAAAATGAGATTGTCGTCCAAGGATTTTATTATTGGACTAAAATGGTGTCAAATTTAAGCAGTAATATTTTTTTATTTGATCGGTTCTAATACATTTATAATACAGTTTTAATACACATTACAAAGAACAATTAATTATTCATATATAATACATTTTTTTGTTGTTGATCAATATATTTATCACACGTTTTAATATACTTATGATACAATGTGTCAATTTCTTACAAAAACAAGCATAATATACTTTTTAAAATAGTTATAAATTGCATACATAATTCACTTTTAATATACATTGCATATTTAACATAGTGTTGCTATAAATGGTAATAAATAAAAAGTATCGCTAAGAATTAGTAATTCCTTATTAGATGTATCATTCCAAGTAAATTTTCCTTTTTTTTCCCTTTTTATTACTCCTTTCTTTTTGTTTCACTTGAACCGAGAGTCTTTCTGAAATAGTTTTTCTATTTTCACGAGATAGGAACAAGATCGGCATATACTATATCCTCTCCAAACCCCACTTTGTGGATTTTACTAGATATGTTATTGTTGTTGTTGATCGAAAGTGCAAAAATATTAGCAGTATAGAAGCAAGAAGATATGTTTATTTCCAAATCCAGACTAATATTAATTAATAAAAATATTTAAGCATTTTTTTAATAGTCATAACGGTTACAACCTCTCAATTGTATCGTCATGTGTCCTGTTTAGACACTAATCGCTATCATGTCGATCCATTTATTAAACTTGCTTCAGATAACATCAGTTTCAAAGAGCTATATTTGTCCATATCACCTAATTTTAGGTATTGTGCGTCTCCCGGAATTTTAGATTCTAGGTTTTTAATCGTTCTTCATATAAAATAAAATTGCGACATGAATCATGTTTGACAATTTAATGTAATGCCTTCATTGAAAGAGTTGTATTTTCATTCTGTTTGCATTCTTTCGCGTACCTTCACCAATTTTATACCCAACCGTCCTCTCCTTGTTCTCTTAACTTTGATAAATTGTGACAACCTTAACGAATCCACAATCCCCCATCTGAATTATCTCGAAAAGATTCAAGTCAATACTCGCAAAAAAATTACAAAAATTGTTGTAAAAGCTCAAAATTTTCTAGTGAATTTCGCGTCTACTAATCTACAACTCCTCCATATAGATTGTACATATGTTCCTTACTCGTTTTCTCATGACATTTATTCAACATTCCCATTTCTAAAATCCTTATGTCTTGTATTATGTAGAGGGTTGAAAAAAAATCAAGATTGTGAGTCCTCAATTGGAGTTTTGACATTGAATAACATCATTGACTTGCGTGAAGCATTCATAGCTATTCCTAATTTATATAAATTCAACGTAATATATAGCTTTAAGTTCAAAACCCCGCGTCCCATAATGGGATCAAGGCAAATGGAAATTGAGTATAACTTGCTTGAATTGAGAACTTTTGCTGAAAATTTGGACCTTGAAAACTTAACACAACTGGAGTAAAGGTATGTACTAAAGTACAATACATTAAAAAAACCCTAATAAGTTTGGTAAAGGTTGGACAACACAAGTGAATCTCGAGGAGATTTTGAGCTTTTACTTCAAGTTTTTTAATTTTTTTGCGACTATTGACATGAACCTTTTCTAGATAATTGAGATGGGGGACTGTGAACTCAACAAGGTTGTCACAATTTATCAAAGTTAACTCAACGAGGAGAGGACATTTGGGTGCAAAACTGGAGAAGGTGCGCGAAAAAATGCAAACAGAATGAAAATACAACTCTTTCAATGAAGGTTTACATTAAATTCTCGAATACGATTCATGTTGCAATTTCCTTTTATATGGAGAACGGTTAAAGATCTGGAATCTAAAAATCCGAGAGACGCACAATACCTAAAATTAGGTGGTATGGACAAATAAACTCTTTGAAACTGATTTTGTCTGAAGCAAGTTTAATAAGTGGATCGACATGATAGAGATCTGTGTCGGAGCATACACAAGATTCATAAGGGTATATATGAGAGAAGCCTGTATCCACAAGTAATCTTTTCAGATTTTTTGTTTGCACTAAACTAAGATCTCGTCTAATGATTTTATCATTTGACGCCATTTTTTGGAAACAAGAGAAACATTTGGCCTTTGTTTCAAAGTTACACGAGACAAAATTTCATGGATGATGTCCTCTGTAAACTCTGAAAATATTTGATCACAATCAAAAAGAGTATTGGCAGCCATTTACAAACAATTCATAAATATATAGACATAACAATTGTGTTTGTAAAGAACAACATAAAAAAAGTATAATCAGAAACTTTCTGCTAACCCAAGATTGTCTAACAAAAATTCAAAAACTCAATTGAAGAAGAGAAAGCTAGAATGGAGATAGAGTATTTTCGAATTAAAAAACCTTTTTTTAGAAGAAGACTGTTTGATTTGAGTTGTTTACAGATGGCTAAAACCACTATTTATAATTATGTAAAGATGATTCTAGAAACTGAGGACTGAGACTCTTCTTATCTTTCTTTTCTGAAGTAAAAATATCTAAGATATTTTTTGTACAAAATTCTAGAACGTTCTACTGATTAAATATATATGATATTTTTATACAGAATTCTAGAAAATTTTCCAATTTAAATATCTTAGATATTTTTGTACCTCACTCTACAAAATTCTAGAGATCTGCTTTAATTTTTCAAATATCAAATATTTTCCCTCGCTCACTCACACAAAGGAAATGCCCTTTTTTTTTTTAGTTCTCAACAATGGGAGGTCTTTCATCAGGTTATTCATGGACCCTCAAGATTATAACGAATGTATGTTCAACATTGTGAAAGTGGCATTGGGACGGAGACAAATGGAATATGACACCGGGGCTTCCTATGCCTGGGCGCGAGTTTCAGCCAACCTTTCTACAATTACAAGACAAGGCGCTCATCAAATTAGTCCTCCTTGAATAATTGAGTCATGAAATTGCTGATTCTTGCTTAAATTGGTATCTTACTATATTCATTAATGATGAACAAAAATTTAATTGATGGATTTTTACTTCCTCTTCTGATCGAAAGAGAGAATATATATTGATAGAACGTATATGGACTAATAGTCATTGAATCTGGTCTCTTGATAGAATAAAAGTGCAAGAATTAAATAATTCAAAGTAAAACAAACACGTACGAGAGGCTTATGTGGAAACCCTCTAAGCTTGTTCAATGGAGGAGAAAATCACAACTTGTCTCACAAGGTTTCAATTCAACTTCATTTAACTCAAGACAAAGCCTTCAAATTACAAAGTGAAACTCGACGAGATTTTGAGCTTTTACTTGAGTTTTTTTTTAAAATTTGCGAGTATTAACATGAAACTTTTCGAGATAATTGAGATGGGGGACTGTGAAGTCAATAAGGTTGTCACAATTTATCAAAGTTAACTCAACAAGGTAAGGATATTTGGGTATAAATTGGAGAAGGTACGCGAAAAGATGCAAACAAAATGAAAATATAACTCTTTCAATGAAGGCATTACATTAAATTCTCGAATAACATTCGTGTTGCAATTTCCTTTTATATGGAGAACGGTTGAAAATCTGGAATCTAAAATTTTAGGAGATGCACACTACAATAAAAATTACCATTAGCGGCATTTAATTCTTAATTGTCGCTAAAGATGTATTTTTAGCGGCAATTGGCACTATTTGTATATGTCATTAAAGCCTTTAGCGACATTGGTTCTAATGTCACTTAACTAATGCCGTTAAAGACTTTAGCACTCTTTATTAGTGTCTATATTTAATACCGCTAAAAGTTGTTTTTGTTATAGTGGCACAATACCTAAAATTAGGTGGTATGAACAAATAGAGTTCTTTGAAACTGCTGTTGTCCGCAGCAAGTTTAATAAATGGATCGACATGGTAGAGATCTGTGTCGTAGCATACACAGGATGCGTGAGGGTACAAGTGAGAGCAGCCGCAGTATCCACACGTTATATTTTCAGAACGTGTTTGGACTAAATTGAGATTGTCGTCCAAGGATTTTATTATTGACGCCATACTCTGGAAACAAGAGAAACAGTTTGTCTGTGTTTCAGACTAACACAAGACAGGATCTTCTGGATGATGTCCTGTGGAAACTCAGAAAATAATAAAATCGTTGGACGGCAATCTCAATTTAGTGCAAACGCATTATGCAAAGATATCGTGTTGATACTGCCTCCTCTCATTTATACCCTCACGCATCCTGTGTGTGCCCCGACACAGATCTCTACCACGTTGATCCATTAATAAACTAGCTGCAGACAACAATCAGTTTCAAAGAGCTTTATTTGTTCATATATACAAACTAATTTTAGTTATTGTACGTCTCCTGAAATTTTAAAAGGCAATTGCAACGTCAATGTTATTCGAGAATATAATGTAATCCGTTTATGTTAGCATTTTTTTAAGCGCTCATTCTCCAATTTTGACTCATCAAATCAGGAAAAGAACAATGAGCCATCACAAAGAAATTAGTATGAATTGATCTTAACATTTCATCAACTCTAAGAGATGTAAAAATCGGTCCACTATCACCTTGTAAGCAATGTAACACTCGACTGTTTTTGTTGCAAGCAATTTCTGCAGACTCATTGCTAACATGTACTTGTGAGCATTAAGACTATGTAACTTCATTAACGGTAGCATATCAAGTCTAGTTTTCGTACGAGTAGCTAAATTGTCGAGACCTGTGAGCATTTGGACTAGATGACTTTAATTTATGCAAGAAATTATACAATAACTTCCTGGTGTATCAAAGATCCCGACACTTTAGCTACTCTTTAAAAAATAGACTTGATATGCTTCCGATAAATGAAGTTACATGGCCTGAAATTGCTCTGTGGTACATGCTAATTAGCGTCGTTATGTTATCCGTGGAATTTAACCTTGAGACTGCAGAAAATTGCTTGCAAAGAAAGAAGCGGAGTGTTTCATTGATAACAATGAAATGGCGGGCTAATTTGTAGCTCTCTTAATATAATATAACTAGTCAAAGTACATGCATATATATCACCTTAATTAATAATAAATAGCTTCTCATAACAGTAGATAGATGTTTGATGCATACAATTTATAAGTTCTGAAAGACCTCATCAGTTTGCTACATATGCAAATGATATAAGCACTTGATATATTGCGAAACACACGATAATTATCATGTCAATTATTTTTATTATTATACACATTTACATCTTCTTTTTAACCTTGGAGAATTACGGTTCATATGAGTTATGAAGAGAAAAGAATAATACTATTAACATGATTCTTTTTTTTTCCATAAATTTTTTCTTTGAATAATTAATATAAATGCATACCGAATATAAATTGAGAAACACAAACTTTTCACAATGACTTATTCTAGATATATGATCGATTTGAGAAATGAATATTTCAGCACATAAATAATAGACTAATAAGTTCAATAGATTATACATATAAACAAAAAGTTAAATAAAAATAAAACCTCAAATAACCATATTTGATTTTTATCATTTAGTTATTCGTCTCTCTACTCATAAATAATAATCTCAAAAATATATTTATACTCAATCGAGAACCAAATAAGCATATCAAATTAATTGATTAATCTTTCATTATGAGTTTCATCAATAACTAAGAAATATAGTAGAACATGAATTGTACATCACTAATTTCTTCATGTAGGACACAAGATATTCCAATAGAAAAACAAAATCATAACCAAGTATATCAAAATATAAAAAAGGACTTATAAAATACTTAGGCTAGACAAGGAGGAACAGATAAAAACAAAAGAAAATTACTGCACATAAAAAATGATTAGCAAGATTAATTTGTTGCATGATTAGTATCTCTCATCCTCCGCTTATCATTTACATGAAGACCATGCTAGGCATTTTATACCAGTAGCTAGGATGAGCATTGTGAGATATATAAAATAAATTTGCATTAAACTAGTTCAATGAATTTAGTCCATATTAAATTTATTTTCTGGATTACTCTTTCAAATACTCTTGATTTTTACAGCAAAAGAAAAATTGATTATTAATATAAATTTGATTCGTGTACAGAATTAAATGAGTAATTTATTAAATTATTCAATACAAATCCTCTAAAATCTTTCTTTTAAATTGCAATGGAAAACTGTTAATTAATGTAAACCTCATTATAGTAATTACTATTTGAGTCCTACGTTTTTGTTTAAATTTGATATATATAATGAAGAAGACAACTTCTTGAAGGATATGTAATTCAATATTATTACATTTGACAGAGCAATTTTTTTACTATATACTATTTAATTATATTTGTATAGCACTTTGTTATAATTGTTTTAATGTAAGGATAAAATGAAAATTTAACTTTGAGTTTTGAACACACCCTAGTATCATACTGCTAATATTTACCCCTCCGTTTAACAATAAAAATAACACATCTTGTGAAATTCCAAAAAAATGGAGTGTCGAGATGATAGACTGTAAGTTCAATATGTGTCAACCCTATTAATAAACTTATTGTGGACAAATCTCTCTTTTAATCAAAAGCGGCAGAAAAAATCCATCACTTAGATTTCACATATATAGTAAGGAAAAAAACCACTTTCATGGATCAAATATTCAAGGAGGACTAAATCATACAGATCCGATGAAACATCGATAAATTTTACAAAAATACAATAGGGATGATTAATTTCATAACAAATATTGCCATACTAAAGTACAATACATTAAAAAAAAACTAATAAATTTGGCTCCGTTTATAAGTTGGACACCAATATTGTACGGCACCAACATAGAACTAGTCTTGCATAATTGCGATTCCCATTCAGTTATGCCTGCATTAATGTTACAACCTTATTCATTAATTCAGATATATATATAAATCACTAAACAAATGTTTGTTGTGAGATGATTACCACTCAAACTCCAATTTAATCTGATGAGCACCTTCTCTTGTAACTGTAGAAAGGCTGGGTAAGACTATGGAAAATAAGCACTATTGTTCCCTTCCTTCCTCAGACCCTGCACAGATCAGGAGCTTATCGTGCCGAGCTTCCCTTTCTTGTATTGTAAATGTAGAAATGTTGGGTAAGTCTAGTAATAGCCCCTTCTGACTCGACCCTTCCCCTAACCCTGCACATAGTGTGGGATTATCACATCGGGCTTCCCTTTCTTGTCTTGTAATTGTAGAAATGTTGGGTAAGTCTAGTAATAGCCTCTTCTGGCTCGACCCTTCCCCTAACCCTGCACATAGTGTGGGATTATCACATCGGGCTTCCCTTTCATGTCTTGTAATGGTAGAAATGTTGGGTAAGTCTAGTAATAGCCCCTTCTGGCTCGACCCTTCCCCTAACCCTGCACATAGTGTGGGATTAACACATCGGGATTCCCTTTCATGTAGTGCAAATGCAGTTGATCCAAAAGGATCGTAAAGCTTTTCAATGCTTTGTGCCAAGACATGTACTCACTACGTTTGTGGCGTTTGGTACCGTCTTTGTTCCAACCTTCCAGCTCATTCATTAGGACCTACAAATTCATAACAAAAGTGTACAGAAAGAGAAGTGAAGATTGGAAATTATATACTCTCATTATAATATTGCATAATAATACCCGTATAAAGTCATGTTTTCGGGCATCTGAATTCACTGTCACCACCAAGCTCCGCGGATGGAAGTAAGCAAAAAATTCAGCAAGAAATGATTCATATCTCGGTTTGAATGAATATTGTATCACCAAATTTATGCGCTTGATACAAAGTGGTTGAAGGCTGCTTTGAAATGTTACTTCTTCCTTCATTGAGAAGGAAAAATAATTTACAACATGAAAGGAAATTGAATAGGAAAATAATTTGCTCTCAAATTGTTGGGAAATACTAAAGATGTAAGTACATACCTTTGCTCGAGCTGTGTTAGTTTCTAAGGACAACGTGAAATTTTCACCCAAATTTTCAGCGAAAGTTCTCAACTCAAGCAATTTATTGGTTGCACAAGCATCCATCTCAATTTCCATTTGCCTTGATCCCATCATGGGATGCGGAGTTTGGAAGTTAAAGCTATATAGAACGTTGAACAATTGAAAATTAGGAGTAGCTATAAATGCTTCGCGCAAGTCAGTGGTGTTATTCAATGTCAAACACTCCAATTGAGGACTCACAATCTTGATTTTTTTCAATCCTCCACATAATATAAGACATTAAGGATTTTAGAAATGGGAATGTTGAGAAAAAATCACGAGGAAACGAGTCGGGAACATTTATAGAATCTATATGGAGGACTTGTAGTTTAGTAGACGCGAACAAATCAAGTTTGGTAAAGGTTGGACAACACAAGTGAAACTCGAGGAGATTTTGAGCTTTTACTTCAAGTTTTTTAATTTTTTTGCTACTATTGACATGAACCTTTTCTAGATAATTGAGATGGGGGACTGTGAACTCAACAAGGTTGTCACAATTTATCAAAGTTAACTCAACGAGGAGAGGTCATTTGGGTGCAAAACTAGAGAAGGTGCGCGAAAAAATGCAAACAGAATGAAAATTCAACTCTTTCAACGAAGGCATTACATTAAATTCTCGAATAAGATTCACGTTGCAATTTCCTTTTATATGGAGAACGGTTAAAAATCTGGAATCTAAAATTCCGAGAGACGCACAATACCTAAAATTAGGTGGTATGGACAAATATAACTCTTTGAAACTGATTTTGTCTGAAGCAAGTTTAATAAGTGGATCGACATGATAGAGATCTGTGTCGGAGCATACACAAGATTCATAAGGGTATATATGAGAGAAGCCACAGTATCCACAAGTTATCTTTTCAGATTTTGTTTGTACTAAACTGAGATCGTCGTCTAATGATTCTATCATTTGACACCATTTTTTTGGAAACAAGACAAATATTTAGCCTTTGTTTCAAAGTTACACGCACAAAAAAATTCATGGATGATGTCCTCTGTAAACTCTGAAAATATTTGATCACAATCAGAAAGAGTATTGGCAGCCATTACAAACAATTCATAAACATATAATTAGTTAGTATAAGCATTTAGTATTGTATTTTGAATAGACATAACAATTGCGTTTGTAAAGAACAAAATAAAAAAAGTATAATCAGAAACTTTCTGCTAACCCAAGATTGTCTAACAAAGAATCAAAAACTCAATTAAAGAAGAGAAAGCTAGAATGGAGATAGAGTATTTTTGGATTAAAAAAACTTTTTTTGAGAAGAAGACTGTTTGATTTGAGTTGTTTACAGATGGCTATGACCCCTATTTATAATTATGTTGAGATGATTCTAGAAACTGAGGACTGAGACTCTTCTTATCTTTCTTTTCTGAAGTAAAAATATCTAAGATATTTTTTGTACAGAACTCTAGAACGTTCTACTGATTAAATATCTATGATATTTTTATACAGAATTCTAGAAAATTTTCCAATTTAAATATCTTAGATATTTTTGTACCTCACTCTACAAAATTCTAGAATATTCTACTATATAAAATTCTAGAGATCTACTTTAATTTTTCAAATATCAAATATCTCCCCTCGCTCACTCACACAAAGGAAATGCCCTTTTTTTTTTTAGTTCTCAACAATGGGAGGTCTTTCATCAGGTTATTCATGGACCCTTCAAGATTATAACAAATGTATGTTCAACATCGTGAAAGTGGCATTGGGACGGAGACAAATGGAATATGACACCGGGGCTTCCTATGCCTGTGCGAGATTTTCAGCCAACCTTTCTACAATTACAAGACAAGGCGCTCATCAAATTAGTCCTCCTTGAACAATTGAGTCATGAAATTGCTGATTCTTGCTTAAATTGGTGTCTTACTATATTCATTAATGATGAACAAAAATTCAATTGATGGAATTTTACTTCCTCTTCTGATCGAAAGAGAGAATATATATTGATAGAACGTATATGGACTAATAGTCACTGAATCTGGTCCCTTGATAGAATAAAAGTGCAAGAATTAAATAATTCAAAGTAAAACAAACACGTACGAGAGGCTTATGTGGAAACGCCCCTGAGCTTATTCAATGGAGGAGAAAATCACAACCTGTCTCACAAGGTTTCAATTCAACTTCATTTAACTCAAGACAAAGCCTTCAAATTACAAATCTCTAGTAAGCTAGGAATCAAACTCTTAATCCCCTCCCCCTTACTTGCCTACTAAACCAACTATCTCTAGTTGATTTAGACTTCAAGAACCCAACATAACTAACTCTAGCTGAATTTTGCCGTGTTCTATATGAAAATTAATCTACTTCCTTTATAACTTAGGAATAAATCTTACAAGATCAACCTCTTAAATATTAACTCTAGGAAAAACTAAGAACAACGATAACTCTATCAGGTCCTCCAGATGTTCTTGAGCAATATTCCATTGAGAGAGGCTTTTGCTTTTGTGAAAAACTTGTTTGTGACAATGGAGAATAGACTTATTGTAGGATAGACACAAACACACAAAGCAATTCCATTGGCTGAGGTCCTGTTATGCTGTGGGAAACGTGCACCAAGTCACCAACCACAACAAGTGTTGTAGGTTTTTGGACAGTTGTAGTATTTCATATACAGACAATCTCAGTTTCGTCTGGAATCAGGTCAAAGTTTGTTTAATATTTAGAAATTCAAGAATGACTAAATGACAACTTAAAATAATAGCAAGAATAACTACAACTTAAAATACTCACATATATGGTGTGAGTATATGGTGACAAAGTTTCTTGAGCAACAATAACTAGATGACAATTTAAAAAAATAACATATATGGTGTGAATATATGGAGAGAAAATTTCGTGAAAAAGAATAACTAGATGACAACTTAAAATAACTAGATGAAGCACAATCTTTGTTACACATGTTTTGTAATCAATGTATTATGTCTTTTATAGCAATATATATATATATATATATATATATATATATATATATATATATATATATGTATGTATATATTAATTATTATCTTCAAGTCATTTTATATGTCACATTCTGGATTTTAAAAGTCAAACAAGTTTATCTTTAACTGTAAAATTTTCATAGATCGTTTAAACCTTTCGAATTATCAATTATTGTGACTTATAGTACTTTTTAAATAGTTTACAAATATATAAATTTTATTTCAAAAAAAAATTGAAGATTCCATGCGCAAATTTTAATTTATTTGACTCTCAAAACATATAACTTGTCATATAATTGGGACAGAGGGATCGGAGTAACAGAATTTAGTTCTAAAGCCTATAGCGACAATGACTCCTTTAATAATTAACTAATGCTGATAAAAACTTTATAACACTCTTTATTAATGTATATATTTCTTATCGCTAAAAGTTATTTTTGTTCTAATAAAAAATTACGAATCATAATTTGAACTTATCAAAATCTCAATAATGTCATTAATTTTAAATATGCAGATGAACTTCTATTTTGTGAGGCAAATATCTAACCAAACTTTTCAAATGTTTATGAAAGTAGTAATTGATTATAATGGTGTATTAATTAAGAACATGCTAATTTGGCAGAAACATCTAACATTTCATGAGCTATTTTTTTTAATAAGGTAAATGATTTTATTCATGTGGTATTCTTGCTTTTGTTATCTATTACCACTTTTTGTTTATTATGATTGCACTATTTTCTTGATGTTATTGTTCTTCACTTGTATGATTTGTAATCCTTCCCAATTAGTTATCATGTTTTCTTTAAAGTCATTTTTTTTTAAAAAAAAAACTTACGTAAATATACTATATTAATAAAATATTTATCATTTTGAGCAATAATATTTTTTTTTCATTTGATCACTTCTAATATATTTATAATGCAGTTTTAATATACATTACAAAGAACAATTAATTATTCACATATAATACATTTTTTGTTGATGATCAATATATTTATCACACATTTTAATACACTTATATTACAATGTGTCAATTTCTTACAAAAACAAGCATAATATATTTTTTAAAATAGTTATAAATTGCATACATAATTCACTTTTAATATATATTGCAGATTTAATATAGTGTTGCTATAAATGGTAATAAATAAAATGTATCGCTAAGAATTAGTAATTATTTATTAAATGTATCATTCCAAGTAATTTTTCCTTTTTTTCCCCTTTTCTTTACTTCTTTCTTTTTAATTCACTTGAACCGAGAGTCTTTCTGAAATAGTTTTTCTATTTTCACGAGATAGGAACAAGATCGGCATATACTCTATCATCTCCAGACCCCACTTTGTGGATTTTACTAGATATGTTATTGTTGTTGTTGATTGAAGGTGCAAAAATATTAGCAGTATAGAAGCAAGAAGATATGTTTATTTCCAAATCCAGACTAATATTTATTAATAAAAATATTTAAGTATTTTTTTTATGGTCATAACGGTTACAACCTCTCAATTGTATCGTCATGCGTCCTGTTTAGACACTAATCGCTATCATGTCGATCCATTTATTAAACTTGCTTCAGATAACATCAGTTTCAATGAGCTATATTTGTCCATATCACCTAATTTTAGGTATTGTGCGTCTCCCGGAATTTTAGATTGGTTTTTAATCGTTCTTCATATAAAATGAAATTGCGACATGAATCTTGTTTGACAATTTAATGTAATGCCTTCATTGAAAGAGTTTTATTTTCATTCTGTTTGCATTCTTTCGCGTACCTTCACCAATTTTATACCCAACCGTCCTCTCCTTGTTCTCTTAACTTTGATAAATCGTGACAACCTTAAAGAATCCACAGTCCCCTATCTGAATTATCTCGAAAAGATTCAAGTCAATACTCGCAAAAAAATTACAAAAATTGTTGTAAAATCTCAAAATTTTCTAGTGAATTTCGCGTCTACTAATCTACAACTCCTCCATATAGATTGTACATATGTTCCTTACTCGTTTTCTCATGACATTTGTTCAACATTCCCATTTCTAAAATCCTTATGTCTTGTATTATGTAGAGGGTTGAAAAAAAAACAAGATTGTGAGTCCTCAATTGGAGTTTTGACATTGAATAACATCATTGACTTGCGTGAAGCATTCATAGCTATTCCTAATTTATATAAATTCAACGTAATATATAGCATTAAGTTCAAAACCCCGCGTCCCATAATGGGATCAAGGCAAATAGAAATTGAGTATAACTTGCTTGAATTGAGAACTTTTGCTGAAAATTTGGACCTTGAAAACTTAACACAACTGGAGTAAAGGTATGTACTAAAGTACAATACATTAAAAAAATCCTAATAAGTTTGGTAAAGGTTGGACAACACAAGTGAATCTCGAGGAGATTTTGAGCTTTTACTTCAAGTTTTTTAATTTTTTTGCGACTATTGACATGAACCTTTTCTAGATAATTGAGATGGGGGACTGTGAACTCAACAAGGTTGTCACAATTTATCAAAGTTAACTCAATGAGGAGAGGACATTTGGGTGGCACAATTATTTGACGCCATACTCTGGAAACAAGAGAAACAGTTTGTCTGTGTTTCAGACTAACACAAGACAGGATCTTCTGGATGATGTCCTGTGGAAACTCGGAAAATAATAAAATCCTTGGACAGCAATCTCAATTTAGTGCAAACACATTATGCAAAGATATCGTGTTGATACTGCCTCCTCTCATTTATACCCTCACGCATCCTGTGTGTGCTCCGACATAGATCTCTACCACGTTGATCCATTAATAAACTAGCTGCAGACAACAATCAGTTTCAAAGAGCTTTATTTGTTCATACATACAACCTAATTTTAGTTATTGTACGATCTCCTGAAATTTTAAAAGGAAATTGCAACGTGAATGTTATTCGAGAATATAATGTAATCCGTTTATGTTAGCATCTTTTTTCGCGCTCGTTCTCCAATTTTGACTCATCAAATCAGGAAAAGAACAATGAGCCATCACAAAGAAATTAGTATGAATTGATCTTAACATTTCATCACCTCTAAGAGATGTAAAAATCGGTCCACCATCACCTTGTAAGCAATGTAACACTACTGTTTTCGTTGCAAGCAATTTCTGCAGACTCATTGCTAACATGAACTTGTGAGCATTAAGACTATGTAACTTCATTAACGGTAGCATATCAAGTCAAGTTTTCGTAAGAGTAGCTAAATTGTCGAGACCTGTGAGCATATGGACTAGATGACTTTAATTTATGCAAGAAGTTATACAACGACTTCCTGGTGTATCAAAGATCCCGACACTTTAGCTACTCTTTACAAAATAGACTTGATATGCTTCCGATAAATGAAGTTACATGGCCTGAAATTACTCTGTGGTACATGCTAATTAGCGTCGTTACGTTATCCATGGAATTTATCCTTGAGACTGCAGAAATTGCTTGCAAAGAAAGCAGCAGAGTGTTTCATTGATAACAATGAAATGGTGGGCTAATTTGTAGCTCTCTTAATAAAACTAGTCAAATTACATGCGTATATATCACGTTAATTAATAATAAATAGCTTCTCATAACAGTAGATAGATGTTTGATGCATACAATTTATAAGTTCTGAAAGACCTCACCAGTTTGCTACATATGCAAATGATATAAGCACTTGATATATTGCGAAACACACGATAATTATCATCTTCTTTTTAACCTCAGAGAAGTATGGTACACATGAGTTCTGAAGAGAAAAAAATAATACTATTAACATGATTCTTTTTCTTTCCATAAAATTTCTCTTTGCATATCTAATATAAATTGAGAAAGACAAACTTTTCACAATGACTTATTTTAGATACATGATCCATTTGAGAAAATGAATGTTTTCAATAGATTATACATATAAACAAAAAGTTGAATAAAAATAAAACCTCAAATAACCATATTTGATTTTTCTCAATCAGTTATTCGTCTCTCTACTTAATAAATAATAATCTCAAAAATATATTTATATTAAATTAGGACAGTCTATCGAGAATCAAATAAGCATATCAAATTAATTGATTAATCTTTCATTATGAGTTTCATCAATAACTAAGAAATATTGTACATCACTAATTTCTTCACGTAGGACACAAGATATTCCAATAGAAAAACAAAATCATAACCAAGTATATCAAAATATAAAAAAGGACTTATAAAATACTTAGGCTAGACAAGGAGGAACAGATAAAAACAAAAGAAAATTACTGCACATAAAAAATGATTAGCAAGATTAATTTGTTGCATGATTAGTATCACTTATCCTCCGCTTATCATTTACATGAAGACCTTTATACCAGTAGCTAGGATGAGCATTGCGAGATATATAAAATAAATTTGCATTAAATTAGTTCAATGAATTTATTCCATATTAAATTTATTTTCTGGATTACTCTTTCAAATACTCTTGATTTTTACAGCAAAAGAAAAATTGATTATTAATATAAATTTGATTCATGTACAGAATTAAATGAGTAATTTATTAAATTATTCAATACAAATCCTCTAAAATCTTTCTTTTAAATTGCAATGGAAAACTGTTAATTAGTGTAAACCTCATTATAGAAATTACTATTTGAGTCCTACGTTTTTCTTTAAATTTGATATATATAATGAAGAAGACAACTTCTTGAAGGATATGTAATTCAATATTATTACATTTGACAGAGCAATTTTTTTACTATATACCATTTAATTATATTTGTATAGCACTTTGTTATAATTGTTTTAATGTAAGGATAAAATGAAAATTCAACTTTGAGTTTTGAACACACCCTAGTATCATACTGCTAATATTTACCCCTCCGTTTAACAATAAAAATAACACATCTTGTGAAATTCCAAAAAAATGGAGTGTCGAGATGATAGACTGTAAGTTCAATATGTGTCAACCCTATTAATAAACTTATTGTGGACAAATCTCTCTTTTAATCAAAAGCGGCAGTAAAAATCCATCACTTAGATTTCACATATATAGTAAGAAAGAAAAACCACTTTCATGGATCAAATATTCAAGGAGGACTAAATCATACAGATCCGATGAAACATCGATAAATTTTACAAAAATACAATAGGGATGATTAATTTCATAACTAATATTGCCATACTAAAGTACAATACATTAAAAAAAAACTAATAAATTTGGCTCCGTTTATAAACACCAATATTGTACGGCACCAACATAGAACTAGTCTTGCATAGTTGCGATTCCGATTCAGTTATGCCTGCATTAATGTTACAACCTTATTCCTTAATTCAGATATATATAAAAATAACTAAACAAATGTTTGTTATGAGATGATTACCACTCAAACTCCAAGTTAATCTGATGAGCGCCTTCTCTTGTAACTAAAGAAAGGTTGGGTAAGACTATGGACAATAAGCACTGTTGTTCCCTTCCTTCCTCAGACCCTGCACAGATCGGGAGCTTATCGTGCCGAGCTTCCCTTTCTTGTCTTGTAATTGTAGAAATGTTGGGTAAGTCTAGTAATAGCCCCTTCTGGCTCGACCCTTCACCTAACCATGCACATAGTGTGGGATTATCACATCGGGATTCCCTTTCTTGTAGTGCAAATGCAGTTGATCCAAGGATTGTAAAGCTTTTCAATGCTCTGTGCCAAGACATGTACTCACTACGTTTGTAACGTTTGGTACCGTCTTTGTTCCAACCTTCCAGCTCATTCATTAGGACCTACAAATTCATAACAAAAGTGTACAGAAAGAGAAGTGAAGATGGGAAATTATATACTCTCATTATAATATTGCATAATAATACCCGTATAAAGTCATGTTTTCGGGCATCTGAATTCACTGTCACCACCAAGCTCCGCGGATGGAAGTAAGCAAAAAATTCAGCAAGAAATGATTCATATCTCGGTTTGAATGAATATTGTATCACCAAATTTATGCGCTTGATACAAACTGGTTGAAGGCTGCTTTGAAATGTTACTTCTTCCTTCATAGAGAAGGAAAAATAATTTACAACATGAAAGGAAATTGAATAGGAAAATAATTTGCTCTCAAATTGTTGGAAAATACTAAAGATGCAAGTACATACCTTTGCTCGAGCTGTGTTAGTTTCTAAGGACAACGTGATATTTTCACCCAAATTTTCAGCGAAAGTTCTCAACTCACGCAAGTTATTGGTTGCACAAGCATCCATCTCAATTTCCATTTGCCTTGATCCCATCATGGGACGTGGAGTTTGGAAGTTAAAGCTATATAGAACATTGAACAATTGTAAATTAGGAGTAGCTATAAATGCTTCGCGCAAGTCAGTGGTGTTATTCAATGTCAAACACTCCAATTGAGGACTCACAATCTTGATTTTTTTCAATCCTCCACATAATACAAGACATAAGGATTTTAGAAATGGGAATGTTGAGAAAAAATCACGAGGAAACGAGTCGGGAACATTTATAGAATCTATATGGAGGACTTGTAGTTTAGTAGACGCGAACAAATCAAGTTTGGTAAAGGTTGGACAACACAAGTGAAACTCGAGGAGATTTTGAGCTTTTACTTCAAGTTTTTTAATTTTTTTGCTACTATTGACATGAACCTTTTCTAGATAATTGAGATGGGGGACTGTGAACTCAACAAGGTTGTCACAATTTATCAAAGTTAACTCAACGAGGAGAGGACATTTGGGTGCAAAACTAGAGAAGGTGCGCGAAAAAATGCAAACAGAATGAAAATACAACTCTTTCAAAGAAGGCATTACATTAAATTCTCGAATAAGATTCATGTTGCAATTTCCATTTATATGGAGAACGGTTAAAAATCTGGAATCTAAAAATCCGAGAGACGCACAATATCTAAAATTAGGTGGTATGGACAAATATAACTCTTTGAAACTGATTTTGTCTAAAGCAAGTTTAATAAGTGGATCGACATGATAGAGATCTGTGTCGGAGCATACACAAGATTCATTAGGGTATATATGAGAGAAGCCACAGTATCCACAAGTTATCTTTTCAGATTTTGTTTGCACTAAACTGAGATCGTCGTCTAATGATTCTATCATTTGACACCATTTTTTGGAAACAAGAGAAACATTTGGCCTTTGTTTCAAAGTTACACGAGACAAAATTTCATGGATGATGTCCTCTGTAAACTCTGAAAATATTTGATCACAATCTGAAAGAGTATTGGCAGCCATTACAAACAATTCATAAACATATAATTAGTTAGTATAAGCATTTAGTATTGTATTTTGAATAGACATAACAATTGCGTTTGTAAAGAACAAAATAAAAAAAGTATAATCAGAAACTTTCTGCTAACCCAAGATTGTCTAACAAAGAATCAAAAACTCAATTAAAGAAGAGAAAGCTAGAATGGAGATAGAGTATTTTTGGATTAAAAAAACTTTTTTTGAGAAGAAGACTGTTTGATTTGAGTTGTTTACAGATGGCTAAGACCCCTATTTATAATTATGTTGAGATGATTCTAGAACTGAGGACTGAGACTCTTCTTATCTTTCTTTTCTGAAGTAAAAATATCTAAGATATTTTTTGTACAGAACTCTAGAACGTTCTACTAATTAAATATCTATGATATTTTTATACAGAATTCTAGAAAATTTTCCAATTTAAATATCTTAGATATTTTTGTACCTCACTCTACAAAATTCTAGAATATTCTACTATACAAAATTCTAGAGATCTACTTTAATTTTTCAAATATCAAATATTTCCCCTCCCTCACTCACACAAAGGAAATGCCCTTTTTTTTTTTTAGTTCTCAACAATGGGAGGTCTTTCATCAGGTTATTCATGGACCCTTCAAGATTATAACAAATGTATGTTCAACATCGTGAAAGTGGCATTGGGACGGAGACAAATGGAATATGACACCAGGGCTTCCTATGCCTGTGCGAGATTTTCAGCCAACCTTTCTACAATTACAAGACAAGGCGCTCATCAAATTAGTCCTCCTTGAATAATTGAGTCATGAAATTGCTGATTCTTGCTTAAATTGGTATCTTACTATATTCATTAATGATGAACAAAAATTCAATTGATGGAATTTTACTTCCTCTTCTGATCGAAAGAGAGAATATATATTGATAGAACGTATATGGACTAATAGTCACTGAATCTGGTCCCTTGATAGAATAGAAGTGCAAGAATTAAATAATTCAAAGTAAAACAAACACGTACGAGAGGCTTATGTGGAAACGCCCCTAAGCTTATTCTATGGAGGAGAAAATCACAACCTGTCTCACAAGGTTTCAATTCAACTTCATTTAACTCAAGACAAAGCCTTCAAATTACAAATCTCTAGTAAGCTAGGAATCAAACTCTTAATCCCCTCCCCCTTACTTGCCTACTAAACCAACTATCTCTAGTTGATTTAGACTTCAAGAACCCAACATAACTAACTCTAGCTGAATTTTGCCGTGTTCTATATGAAAATTAATCTACTTCCTTTATAACTTAGGAATAAATCTTACAAGATCAACCTCTTAAATATTAACTCTAGGAACAACTAAGAACAACGATAACTCTATCAGGTCCTCCAGATGTTCTTGAGCAATATTCCATTGAGAGAGGCTTTTGCTTTTGTGAAAAACTTGTTTGTGACAATGGAGAATAGACTTATTGTAGGATAGACACAAACACACAAAGCAATTCCATTGGCTGAGGTCCTGTTGTGCTGTGGGAAACGTGCACCAAGTCACCAACCACAACAAGTGTTGTAGGTTTTTGGACAGTTGTAGTATTTCATATACAGACAATCTCAGTTTCGTCTGGAATCAGGTCAAAGTTTGTTTAATATTTAGAAATTCAAGAATGACTAAATGACAACTTAAAATAATAGCAAGAATAACTACAACTTAAAATACTCACATATATGGTGTGAGTATATGGTGACAAAGTTTCTTGAGCAACAATAACTAGATGACAATTTAAAAAAATAACATATATGGTGTGAATATATGGAGAGAAAATTTCGTGAAAAAGAATAACTAGATGACAACTTAAAATAACTAGATGAAGCACAATCTTTGTTACACATGTTTTGTAATCAAAGTATTCTGTTTTTTATAGCAATATATATATATATATATATATATATATATATATATATATATATGTATGTATGTATGTATATATTAATTATTATCTTCAAGTCATTTTATATGTCACATTCTGGATTTTAAAAGTCAAACAAGTTTATCTTTAACTGTAAAATTTTCATAGATCGTTTAAACCTTTCGAATTATCAATTATTGTGACTCATAGTACTTTTTAAATAGTTTACAAATATATAAATTTTATTTCAAAAAAAATTGAAGATTCCATGCGCAAATTTTAATTTATTTGACTCTCAAAACATATAACTTGTCATATAATTGGGACAGAGGGATCGGAGTAACAGAATTTAGTTCTAAAGCCTATAGCGACAATGACTCCTTTAATAATTAACTAATGCTGATAAAAACTTTATAACACTCTTTATTAATGTATATATTTCTTATCGCTAAAAGTTATTTTTGTTCTAATAAAAAATTACGAATCATAATTTGAACTTATCAAAATCTCAATAATGTCATTAATTTTAAATATGCAGATGAACTTCTATTTTGTGAGGCAAATATCTAACCAAACTTTTCAAATGTTTATGAAAGTAGTAATTGATTATAATGGTGTATTAATTAAGAACATGCTAATTTGGCAGAAACATCTAACATTTCATGAGCTATTTTTTTTAATAAGGTAAATGATTTTATTCATGTGGTATTCTTGCTTTTGTTATCTATTACCACTTTTTGTTTATTATGATTGCACTATTTTCTTGATGTTATTGTTCTTCACTTGTATGATTTGTAATCCTTCCCAATTAGTTATCATGTTTTCTTTAAAGTCATTTTTTTTTAAAAAAAAAACTTACGTAAATATACTATATTAATAAAATATTTATCATTTTGAGCAATAATATTTTTTTTTCATTTGATCACTTCTAATATATTTATAATGCAGTTTTAATATACATTACAAAGAACAATTAATTATTCACATATAATACATTTTTTGTTGATGATCAATATATTTATCACACATTTTAATACACTTATATTACAATGTGTCAATTTCTTACAAAAACAAGCATAATATATTTTTTAAAATAGTTATAAATTGCATACATAATTCACTTTTAATATATATTGCAGATTTAATATAGTGTTGCTATAAATGGTAATAAATAAAATGTATCGCTAAGAATTAGTAATTATTTATTAAATGTATCATTCCAAGTAATTTTTCCTTTTTTCCCCCTTTTCTTTACTCCTTTCTTTTTAATTCACTTGAACCGAGAGTCTTTCAGAAATAGTTTTTCTATTTTCACGAGATAGGAACAAGATCGGCATATACTCTATCATCTCCAGACCCCACTTTGTGGATTTTACTAGATATGTTATTGTTGTTGTTGATTGAAGGTGCAAAAATATTAGCACTATAGAAGCAAGAAGATATGTTTATTTCCAAATCCAGACTAATATTAATTAATAAAAATATTTAAGTATTTTTTTTTATAGTCATAACGGTTACAACCTCTCAATTGTATCGTCATGCGTCCTGTTTATGCGTCCTGTTTATGCTCAGAAAGAGTATTGGCAGCCATTACAAACAATTCATAAACATATAATTAGTTAGTATAAGCATTTAGTATTGTATTTTGAATAGACATAACAATTGTGTTTGTAAAGAACAACATAAAAAAAGTATAATCAGAAACTTTCTGCTAACCCAAGATTGTCTAACAAAAATTCAAAAACTCAATTGAAGAAGAGAAAGCTAGAATGGAGATAGAGTATTTTCGGATTAAAAAACCTTTTTTTAGAAGAAGACTGTTTGATTTGAGTTGTTTACAGATGGCTAAAACCACTATTTATAATTATGTAAAGATGATTCTAGAAACTGAGGACTGAGACTCTTCTTATCTTTCTTTTCTGAAGTAAAAATATCTAAGATATTTTTTGTACAAAATTCTAGAACGTTCTACTTATTAAATATATATGATATTTTTATACAGAATTCTAGAAAATTTTCCAATTTAAATATCTTAGATATTTTTGTACCTCACTCTACAAAATTCTAGAGATCTGCTTTAATTTTTCAAATATCAAATATTTTCCCTCGCTCACTCACACAAAGGAAATGCCCTTTTTTTTTTAGTTCTCAACAATGGGAGGTCTTTCATCAGGTTATTCATGGACCCTCAAGATTATAACGAATGTATGTTCAACATTGTGAAAGTGGCATTGGGACGGAGACAAATGGAATATGACACCGGGGCTTCCTATGCCTGGGCGCGAGTTTCAGCCAACCTTTCTACAATTACAAGACAAGGCGCTCATCAAATTAGTCCTCCTTGAATAATTGAGTCATGAAATTGCTGATTCTTGCTTAAATTGGTATCTTACTATATTCATTAATGATGAACAAAAATTTAATTGATGGATTTTTACTTCCTCTTCTGATCGAAAGAGAGAATATATATTGATAGAACGTATATGGACTAATAGTCATTGAATCTGGTCTCTTGATAGAATAAAAGTGCAAGAATTAAATAATTCAAAGTAAAACAAACACGTACGAGAGGCTTATGTGGAAACCCTCTAAGCTTGTTCAATGGAGGAGAAAATCACAACTTGTCTCACAAGGTTTCAATTCAACTTCATTTAACTCAAGACAAAGCCTTCAAATTACAAAGTGAAACTCGACGAGATTTTGAGCTTTTACTTGAGTTTTTTTTTAAAATTTGCGAGTATTAACATGAAACTTTTCGAGATAATTGAGATGGGGGACTGTGAAGTCAATAAGGTTGTCACAATTTATCAAAGTTAACTCAACAAGGTAAGGATATTTGGGTATAAATTGGAGAAGGTACGCGAAAAGATGCAAACAAAATGAAAATATAACTCTTTCAATGAAGGCATTACATTAAATTCTCGAATAACATTCGTGTTGCAATTTCCTTTTATATGGAGAACGGTTGAAAATCTGGAATCTAAAATTTTAGGAGATGCACACTACAATAAAAATTACCATTAGCGGCATTTAATTCTTAATTGTCGCTAAAGATGTATTTTTAGCGGCAATTGGCACTATTTGTATATGTCATTAAAGCCTTTAGCGACATTGGTTCTAATGTCACTTAACTAATGCCGTTAAAGACTTTAGCACTCTTTATTAGTGTCTATATTTAATACCGCTAAAAGTTGTTTTTGTTATAGTGGCACAATACCTAAAATTAGGTGGTATGAACAAATAGAGTTCTTTGAAACTGCTGTTGTCCGCAGCAAGTTTAATAAATGGATCGACATGGTAGAGATCTGTGTCGTAGCATACACAGGATGCGTGAGGGTACAAGTG